TCTGTGGAGATGTGAATTTTAACAATTAATTTACTATAAGGCACTAAGATGATTGCTTCAATGCAGTTGTTAGTCACAACTCCCTTTCACTGGAAATCCAGCCTATGTCAAGTGTAGAAGACTGTGTATTTTATAATGCTTTAGCCTGATGTAGATTTGAGAATTTGCAGTATGTTACTCTGAGAAGGTGTTCTCTAAGGTAATTGCAAAATGTATGGGCTTGGATCTTGCAACAAAGCTTTGTAACTGAAGCCTTGTGCGTGAATCTTTCTTCCTGAAAGAAATGAGCTTGTTTGAGCTTAATCTGCAGGATTAATGCTTCAAGAAGGGTGAAAAGACAATACTTAAGCTGTCTGAGTTTGAGGGTTCTAATTCTGTGAACACTAATGATTAAAATAGATTATTGATTTGAGATTTACTACTGGTTCCAATTTTAGCTTCTGCCGAGACCTACAGCACTACCCTCTCTCCTGCACTGAGGATTGTGCTAGAGGTATTTCTATAGATTTGACCAATGGATGGATAGATCTCTGTTTGCAGAAGGAATGCTAGTTTTTTTACAGCTAAACCCTTAATCTTTTAATATGATGTATCAATGGCAAAATCATAACTCCTCGGGGATGAAGAGGTATAGTGATCTTGCCTGAAAGTTAATCAACCTGAAACTCAAACAGTATTCGATTTTAGAACTCTATCTTCCAAATATTCAAGTTTCACACTTAGGCTACTGAGTACCCTGTCCTAACAAATGATACTGTTTATGGGTGGCATGCTTTAAATGAACAAAACTATTGCATGGTTAAACTGCCAAAACCTGGTAGTAGTTCGTAATCAAGCAAAATAATTTAAAAAATACTTGATTGCAAGGACTCTTGCCTATGTTAGCAATTCTTATTTCCTATGACTTATCTGTACCTGAAGCTGTCTTTTCCTGTACGTGTTTAACTGTCTTTTTGTTCAGGTACCTATGGTGTTGTGTATAAAGGTCGGCACAAAACCACAGGCCAAGTGGTTGCAATGAAGAAAATACGTCTAGAAAGTGAGGAGGAAGGTGTTCCAAGTACTGCTATCCGAGAAATTTCTCTATTAAAAGAGCTGCATCATCCCAATATAGTCTGGTATGGATATACTGGTATTTAGCTAAACTCTTTGAAGGGCGCTAGATCGCTTCAGATAAGAAATTATTTTTCCACCATTCTAGTGAGGTGACAGCTACTCTGCTTAATACAGTGTCTGCATTGCAGCAAATAGCTGTAGTCCCAAATCCTGTGTTTATACCAGTTTGCTAATTAAAACTTCCACATGCTGCCTTTTCCCATTCTAGGAATCTAACAAGTTCTTGTTGATTTTGTAATTCATGTAAATTACCTTCAGAGTGGTTATTGTCAGAAAGGAGACAATGTACCTCATGAAAACTGGTTGAAGCTGTTACTTTACTCAGCCTCAGAACTCTATTTGCCACCTTGGAATAGATCATTTGACCTCAGTGATCTTATGCGAGCCTCTGTCATCCATCACTTCTTGCTGTTTTGTAGCAGAGATTTATATGTTGTGTTATGATGCTGTCATAGCTGGCACATCTGAGCTATAAGTGAAACTTCTACCAGTGACTACTTGACATGCAGAATTGATTGCAGCTATTGTCTTCCCCACAAAATAGTTACTTGCTCTTGGATGCAGCAAAACACTTTATCTCTAATGCGCCTTAAAAACTGGCCAAGGTCCAGCCATGCAGTGTCTCAATGTATGTATGCTTGGGTTTAGGAACCCTTATAAACTATTTAAGGATGAAGGAGATACTTAATAAACCTGTGCAAATCCTGCTGTGTCTATGAGGTTCCTATTATAATAACCACTTAAACCCTCCCAGTAATTCAGGCTCTGCTGTAATAAGCCAGTTTCAAGAGGAAGCTAGGTACCAACACCCACAATCTTTTTTTTTAAAGGCAACAATATTTTTTCCTCAGACTTCCTGTGTCTGATACTAGGCATAAGGGAATGTAAGTTTTAAGAGGAAGCATACAGAGTGTTTATCTCAGTCTGACACTATTTCAGATATACTTGATTTTCTAGATGACAGTGTAACTCAGTCTGTTGATCTTTGAAGACTGCAAGATTTTTAAGGCTTTTGTATCAGGAACCTGGAAATGTCAGCTTGTATCCCGGCTGAGAGGGGAAATGTAGCCATGAGTCCATGCATTTTGCAATGGAGTTGATTGTATACTCAATTTTTAGTCTTCAGGATGTTCTCATGCAGGATTCAAGACTGTACCTTGTCTTTGAATTCCTTTCCATGGATCTCAAGAAATACTTGGATACTATTCCATCTGGCCAATATTTGGATCGTTCACGTGTTAAGGTAATGATGACAATTTCTTAATATAGTAAGATAGAAATTAATCTAAAGAAGATGACCTACAAAGCTAGAAGCAGCCCTTATTTTCAGTATAGTAAACTCCTTGAGGAGAAATGAAAGGTTAAAGAAGCAGCTGTTGATAAGAAGATGAATGTGAGTTTTGCTCTCAAATGCCACTTCAAATTCTTTCAATTACTGAAATTAAGCTGCCTTAAACTAAGCTTCAGTAAAGAATTAATTTGTGTGGCTTTATGGTTGATATTAACTCAATATCTGCAATGATTTGGATCTCCATTTTCTACTATTATGGGGAGAGCTAATGTAAGAGAGCAGCTTTATGTTGCAGAACACTAAAAGTTACTTGATTCTTATTACTTATTTATGTATCCTTATTTATCCTTATTATTAAGGATAAGGTTACTTACTTATCCTTCTTTTTTTTCCCTCCCACTTCATCCTCTCCACAGAGTTACTTGTATCAAATCTTGCAAGGTATTGTCTTCTGCCATTCAAGAAGAGTGTTGCACAGAGACTTAAAACCTCAGAATCTCTTAATAGATGACAAGGGAGTGATTAAACTGGCAGACTTTGGCTTGGCTCGTGCCTTTGGAATTCCAGTGCGGGTATACACTCATGAAGTGAGTGAGTTGGAACATCCTCTTGGTGATTTGGACAATGCTTACTAGCTTCCTGGTAGTAACTGAATATGAAACAGCTAAAAAAGAATCATGGAGCTTTTGAAGTCATAACCTAACAGTGTCAAAGAAGTTATATTTCTGTTCTGTTTTACTCAATGGCTTTCCATCTCCCTGACTGTGCTTTTACTCTAAGGTTCCAAAGCATCTTATGAATCTCACTACTACCTTGACAATGAATCAGATGGGACAGAACTTGTTGCTCACTGTCTCATAAGGGCATTTTTGCTTCACAAACTGCTAGAGTTTCTTGAGGGTTTTAGTGGCTAGGTGCTAAAGGCTTCCCACTCTTGGGGAAGTAGAGTGGCAATTGCTTTGCTGGCAGTAGAAACTACTGCAATGGAGTTCATTATGCTTATCTGTAAACAAAGTTTGAAACTAGTGTTTTTACTAAAACTTTTAGCACTGGCTATTATTTTAACCAAAAAACCCACCTGTGAATGCTGCTTAATAATGAATGAGCCATTGTGCTTGTGGTCAATTGGAGGACCTGATTCTACAACCTAACCAAAAAATTTTCCTTGTTCAATAGGTAGTGACACTCTGGTACAGGTCTCCAGAGGTGTTGCTTGGATCTGCACGTTACTCTACTCCTGTAGATATATGGAGCATAGGTACCATATTTGCTGAGCTGGCAACTAAAAAGCCCCTTTTCCACGGGGACTCGGAGATTGACCAGCTCTTCAGAATCTTCAGGTATGTCAGGCTGAACCTTTCCTTGCTATTTGTGCAGCATTGCACAACAGTGCTGTGCACTTACTAAAATCATAGTAATGCATACAGGTTTTGGACTAAACTGCTCAGTATTTTGCTTATGCTTGCATAGAGCTTTAGGTACCCCCAACAATGAGGTATGGCCTGAAGTGGAATCCCTGCAAGATTATAAAAACACATTCCCAAAATGGAAACCTGGCAGCCTGGGAACACATGTCAAAAACTTAGATGAAGATGGACTGGATCTGCTGTCCGTAAGTAGTCTTTCTTAAACTGCTGATTAAGAAACCAAACAGATAGTTTCAAATCCTCTAGAATACATAAAGCTATACTAATCAGTCTTGGCTAGAATGAAGATACAGAGATCTTCAAACTATCAGCAGTGGTATGAGTGGCTGTTCTTTGTAGAACTGACATCTTGTGTGGTATTCACTCACTTCTTTCATAAATAATAGATGACTACTTTTTCTAATTAAGCAATTAAGCCTCAGCTTTTTTATACTAATAAGTCAGGTACAACTGGAAAGTGAGAATGGGCTTTTACAAACAGGTGAAGTGAAGGTTCCTGCCCACAAACTGTAGCGGTCAATTTCCTGGTGCCAGCACTAGTTATGATGTGACTGTATAATCGCTGATCCAGATGGAAATGTTTTTCTTTTATGGTAGCACGTGGATTAATCTTGGTGGGCTCATCTTGGTTAAGCTTTCATGGTGGTCTTTAACTGAATAAACAACGATGGAAATGGATGAATGTATTGATTAGCTGTGAAACTGGGGCTTAGTTTAAGTCAGTCTGTAGTGTCTGTCTCAATTGCTTTTAAATTTTGAATTTTTTTTGGCTGTGGTGGATTAACTTTTAATTGGTATATATTATGTCTAGTGCGAGTTTACTTTTTAGTTCTGTGGCTATGCAGTGGAAGTACCATGCTAAGCTTTTATTTGACAAGCTCTTCATCAGGCTTTTCTTAGTGCTCTTCTAGCTCATGTACTGCCACTGTGGACTCATTTAGATCACGTTGGGTGTGATCTTAGATGCACCTATGTATAAGAATGTACCTGGGTGACTTATCCTAAAGCTGCATTTATACAGTGCAGACTTGCATACAGGGGGTGTAGGGTGGATCTTAAGATAAGCTGGAACTTCAGAACCATCTTGGTACAAGGGGAACCTTATACAGCAGTTAGCTGTGCAGCTGGCTCATGTTCTAAAGCAGGCGAAGTAGTTTGTTACCTGTATTAGTATAGCTATGGCAAAATATACCCAAGAAACTCAACTAACCACAATTTCTCACAATTTTTCTTTGAGAACAGATCCACAGTTCAGACTGACAACCTGAACAATATTTGTTAAACATGTAGTTGTTTTGGATAGCTCTCTGAACTTTGTAGCAGTATGGTTTTACAGAGATAACTGACTTAAGCTGAGAAGAATTCCTTTGTGTCCACTGACAGCATCATTAAGTCAGTTTGAAGTGGAATTGTTACTGATTGTATTTACAAACTAAAAATCAGTTGAACAGGCAAGTGAATGTTGTTGATAGTCACATACGTGGCCTGCTAAGTACTCATCTGAGCTTAGTTGTGGCTTCATTGTGTAAAACCAATGTTTGGAGTGCTGCTAACAAAGGCAAAAGTAATTACTAGTTCCTCAAATGGTGTTAACACAATGCTAGTCTCAAAGCATATTAAATTCTGTGAAATCTGGTATAGTTTTGCCTTAAATTAGTGTTGAAATTTTAGCTTCCTCTAATGCCTGGTGATGGTGGTACAGCTGAATTCTGAAGTGTCTAGAATCCACTTAAGTTTCCTATGGCACTTCTAAGCCTGAAGCAGTGATATAACTCTAAAGGCAACAAAAGTGTTTCATTCTAGAGCAGAAGCTCAGATATGTCAATGAAAATGTTCATTTCTCCTTCTATAGACTATTGCAGATGGAAGTAGTATGTAAAATAGCTATCTTTGAAAACATATTTTTGTGTTAAGAACAATTGCTTGAGTGAGATTGTAAACTTAAGACTTTCAAAAGCTAAATGACTTCTGTGGCCAGTGTTTCAAAGCATTTAATGGCCATCATCAAAAGCTTTGATTATCAGACACTAAGCTTCAGGAAAAACGATGTTCCAGACTGCTCAGAGAAGAAATGGTCACTTAATCTATCAGCTGAAGTCCCGTAGTCTCAATGTCACAGCATCCCATTTTCAGAGAAATTTGCCTTTTTTGTCTGAGTCAATTTTAAGAGAACCTTTGATATCAGTATTAGCTATAGGATACTGTTGTTCTGAGGTATAGCTAATGGGAACCTGTCACTTAACCTTGTATGTCCAATTTTACCTTAAATATAGTGATAGTGTTGCATTTGGCAGGTGTTCAGAGAATATAAATGCAAATTCAGTGGTTTAAATCAACTTGGAAGATTCCCTGTAGGATGAAGTCTAAAGATAGTTAAATGTCACGACTGAATGCTGGGCAGAGTATTACTGGTTAAGGTGTGTGTTTTTTTTTCTGGAAGATAAATTTGTTGTGGGGATGGGGGAGAAGCAGCTGGTAGAATTCTGATGAATTTGAAACATGCTTTCCTTTAAGGAAAAACGAAAGCAAAAAGACTTTGCAGAGACTTTGCTAGCTTTACATCTAGAAAACAGTTAAATCCTTCATTCCTTTCCTCTTTTGGCCCCTGGCTGTATGATATAAGCTGTAGGTGTGTTTTAAAAACTACTAGCAAAACAAATCTCTTGCCTATTCTAAAAAGTTCTGGGGGCTATTTTAGTGGCTTGGTATCGCCTCTATTTGCTCTCATCAACTTTATTGAAGTCTTCAGTTGAAATAACATTGCAAAGAAACCTAAGTTTTCAAACTGGGTTTCTTCAGTTCTACCTGCTTGTATACTACTTTCCTGTTTGGATTCTGTAACAGAGTGATCACTTGCTTATATTTTAAAGGTAAACAGCAGAAGCAATTTGACATCAGTTTCCTCAATGTTAGCTTAACAAAACAAGCATAGGACAACTTGTCCTTGTAAGCATTTTGGGCTTTAACAGCCTAAAGCTTATTAATTTCCCTTAGCTGGGAAGCTGAGACTAGTTGATGCCTGGTTCTGGATTTAGTTCAGTGCATATGGTACCCTGATACATGCATGGGCTTGGTTATTGAATGGGAGAATAAATATTTCGTTGTGTTCTGGGATGTTATATGTTACTACTGACTTGTAGGTGGCAATGACCTCTCCCTTTAAGAGAACTCATGGAACATAGAGGGAAAACTTATATTTACGGTTACTTGATTATTACTGTGGTTAAATATCTACCTATTTAACATGACTTTAGTTCCCATTTCATGAGGGAGTAATGTGTTCCCTTTTTCTTACAGAAAATGTTAATTTATGATCCTGCAAAAAGAATTTCTGGCAAAATGGCCTTGAACCATCCATATTTTGATGACTTGGACAAATCCACTCTTCCTGCTAATCTGATTAAGAAATAATAGACCTTTGGACTAAATCAACCAGAGTGAAATAATTGTGATTACTTTTACTATTAAGTCTGTCTAACTTGTATGTCTGTCTGCTCTAAAACTGGCTGTGTTTTAGTTTGTTTTGGTTTAAGTGTTATCTAAATGTAAATATTAACCTAATAGTGCTGAGTTCAAATACAATGCAAATACTGCTGCCATTAATGCAGTGAACTTTCTATAAATAAAGCTTTAAATCCCGTGAAGGACTGAACTTATTTCTAGACTGTGGGTGCTCTACAAAAGGACTCGGTTTTCTTTGGAATGTGCTGGTAAGGTACCACTGGTCTAAAAAAGGCAGGTAACCTAAACTACTAAATTGCTGCTCTTGATGTAATAGGAAAATACAATAGGAAATTCCTCTGAAGTTTGAGCAGTTTCAGTATAATGTCAGTTTAAAATTTTACTTGAGCATGGCAATCAATGTGCCAAAAGACATGTAAATAAGATTTTTGAACTGAAGAACTGCAGATTACTACTAAAGCCAAATAAATGGCCAAACGCGTTCTAGGGTTTGAGGTTTTTGAAGGTATTTGCAAATCAGTGTTTGGAAAAATCCTTGCTCTGTATGCTTTTCTGTTATCTTGAAGGCCCAAGAATTTACTTAGACATTGGCATGTTAACTTGTGAATCGGCATAGTTCCAGCTCCTGGACCAGTTAAGGTATGATGTCTTTAAATTTTACATGGATTCTCTATATACCCATGTGTAACTGCTTAACAGAGCCTCTTCCAAGTGCTAATAGTATTACAGTTCCTGATTCTTATTAAAGGTAGAGCCCCCTGGGTTGTGCTTGAATTTGTAAACCAGTTTGTCTTTATATAGGAGTAGTCAAATAAATGTTGACTTAACCTGACTGCTAGGAATTGTAATTGTAGACTGAGATGCTACATGTCTATAGACTCTTCCATGATTAAAGCAGGAGCTTTCTAAAGTTCCCCAGCATTTAACTTTATAGACGAGAGTATTGTAAAAAGTTCAAACAGTTAACAAAGGTATATACTAATAGTTGATTGTATGTTAGTCTTTCAATTGCTACTGCTATTCTTGCCTTTCAGATACATCAGTAGGGACAGGGTGCACACCTGTGTCTAAGTTTTATTGGCTCTAAGCACCATGGTGCTCCTTTACATGCTGCTTAGGGGCCAAAGTTTGCTGAAGGTTTTAAGTTTTTAAATCATGCATGTGAAAGGAACAGACGAACTGCTCATAACAGCAAGGTTTGTAAGAGCCCTGTCCTACAGCTGATGAAGAGTGAGACTTTGAAACAAAAGCAGTGGAGATGATGATATCTTGTCCCTCACTGCTTATTGTGTCTATTGATGAGTAGCTGAAAGTATTGGGTGTCAGACCCAGTTTTTGTTAACGAGTAGTATTTTTAGACATAAGTACCACTTGGGGTGTTAGCATTCTCTGCAGGGTAGTTCTTAATCTCCAGAAGTATCTGGATACTGTCAGCCTAATGGAGTCATTTAATAGCAGATTTTTTTTTCTGAAATTGCTTATTCAGAAGGCTCTTAACTGAAGGTGGAGGGGAACAAGATTGCTATGGCTGAATCCTTTCTATTCATGTCAGCGATAGGACACCATTTCAAGACAAACTGAGCTTTACAGGCCAAGGGATAGTATTGCTGGTGCTAGCTAGTTACATCGGTGTAGAAAAGCAGGGGGAACCTGTTAGCAACTGCTCTGAAAATCAGAAGTTAACCTGTTTAAGCAATACTGTGCACCTTAACATAGTCTGTCTCTTTGCAGTGGACTTTTACTAAAGTTCTTTTGCGTGGAGAAGACTACTTCAGCTAGGCAAACTCAAGACTTTTGTTACTTATAATACCCATAAAGCCCTATTTTTGTCTTGTAAGTACTGGTGATTTTCTGTTTCATGTGACACAGTGAACACTTTATCTTAACTAAAAGATTTCAGTACCAAAATTTCTAAAGACAGCTTAATTTTAAACAATTTACTACAAGTCTGCAGTCTTTCCTGTTTACCTAGGCACTGTTATGACTGGTGGTGTAACACAGCTATTGCTGTAGCTCTGAATGAACTATTATAGTACTCCTAGCAAATAGGACAGAGAAAGGAACATAATACTGTCCATCAGTGTCTGAGGTCAGATAAAGTGGTGACTATCATATCCAAAGACATGACTTACTTTAATAGCTCCATTCTGAAATACAGTGTAAAGTTATTTCAATGATGAACATAATTTACCTTAAGGAAAAATATATCATCTACACTGCCTAACTGCCCTGCTGTCTAGATCTAGTATGTGGAAAGTTTGTGATGCTCAAGTTTTCACCATCTGAAATTCCATTTTATGTTTATTCCATTTTATTGGTGAAAACTTGAGGTGCCTTGCACTGTGAGTAATAATTGGCAGCCCTATTTACTGATAGCGCTTTGGCTATGTATTGTGAGAACTGAATTGCCATAGTACTACATTACTGTTGTCCTTCAGTTGAGGACATTGTAGTGCTTGGCAGGGTTTCGCTGGTTCAAATTTTTTATTAGGATGTTTAGACAATTGAATTGTACTAAACTAACAGTTGGATATGAACCTGCCAGACAGTTAGCATGTTTCATAGCTGCAGATGGAGAATGATTAGCTGAAAATAGAGAACATTGTACCTTTTCTGAAGTGACTAGTAGAAGTCAATGTATTGTTTTGATTTCCCCCGCCCTATGTGCAGTAATTGTAGTATTAAGTGCCCACTTACATTATTTACTAGTAATAACATTAACTATGTTGAATTTAATGTCACCTTTATGGGCTTTTATAGTGATAATGCACATCAGTAAAAGCTCCACAAGTTTGCAGTAGCTTGCTTCTGAATGTTTTAAGAACTGAGTGGAGGAATCACCTCATTTCAACCAAGAGCAGACTGCGTTTAAATTTCCATAATGTTGCATCGGTATTGCCTCTGGTGCTGTATCTGCTGCTGAGTAACATGTTTTCTACTAGAGCACACATGAACCCCAGCAGGGAATGATAAACGTAACTTGCTGTTTTACTTGCTTGTCCTCTATACCATTAAAAGTAGTGCAGATGAAAGTTTGGTGTATACAAGGATAGGATTTTACACAGGATCAAATTAGGGTTTTGGTTGTTTTTTTAAAGTTTCCAAGTGTTAGCAAGCTTTGCTCTTTTAAAAATAGCTAACCACCTACTAGATACTTGTAGACTGAGCTCAGCTGCTTTTATTTTACTCAGACATAATTCATTTTAGTGAGAATATGGTATTACCATCTGCTGCTTTTAAAATAAGTGGCTCTTAAAAACAGAGATTTTACAGGGAACAAAAAAGAGGAAGAACTGTACTTTCAAAATCTTTGAATGGGGTAAATACTATAAAAGCTGGTATAAAAAGAAACCTATACCTCTTTATGTGCTGGTGCAGATGTTTGGGTCAGAGGTGGTCCTTCCTGGGCCAGTAATTCTAGCAATGCCTTTATGCTGCAGTGTTCAATGAATCCATCCTCTCAGTCTTGATCCTTCGAACAAGTAGAGCAGGGTTAGCTGATGGGCATGCTCTGCTGCAGATTTAACCTGTTTCAAACAAAGTTTCCTTTACAACATGTTCTTTTCTAGTGACTGGTGGTGGGTGTTTTCCTGTCATTTGATGATGTGCCTTTATGACATCTGGAGATGGAACAGTGTCAGTAGATATATTTTTTTCCTGAATTTTCTGCTACCAAATATGCAAAAGTCATTTCATCATGCATTTTCCTTTTATGCCGATTCTCTCATTTAACAACCCTAGCAGTCTGATTGTAACTGTGGTATCGCTCTTCCTTGCTGCTTTTCTTGTCTTAAATATTTTCCCTGTCGTACATCAGCCCCTTCTAGAGTCATGTTGCTTTTGAAAGTGTAAGTATCTTTAATTTTCTGAGAGGCTCTCATTCCTAAAACCTGTTGGCTGTGTGCTATGTTATGAATCATTCTCTGCCCAGTATTTACTGGGGTAGGAGATACCAGAATTTACATGAAAGAAAATGTCTTGGGTGAAGGCAAGACCAGGAAGACTAATACCTAGAACTTCCCACCCATAGGTTGGAATGCTCTACATTAGTATATGCCATCTTAGGGTAAGAATCGGGGCTGAGGCAGAGAGAGGTCTAGTGATTTGTCTGGAGGAGAACAAAATTTTCACTCAAGTCCTGGAATTTTTTTTCCCCCGTTGCTTGTGAAGAGAGCCAGGAAGAATTCCTACGAGGGGGATCGGAAGGACAAACTGATGGATGAGCAAGAAGGAGTCTTTGTAAGCAGGAAAAGGCTGCTCAGAGCACAGGACAAAAACATAAGCATGAGAGAAAATTCTAGAGAAACAGGGTGATCTGAAGGCAATGCACAGAGTGAAGGACACAAGAGAAGTTTCCTAAACACTTTTTTCAATGCAGAAAGCTTTCAGTGCGAGACACTTTCTTTTTCCTTTCTGCTCTAAACCTGATGTCGGAAGCTTTCTAAGGGCAGCGTTGCAGAATTGGTCTCTAACTTAGGAAAAAAAAGCAACACTATTTAAATCTCAGTAGGAGCCAGGAAGCACCCCATGGAGTGATCATCTTGCACATGCACACACACCCCTGCCCTGGAAAACAGAAACTCCTCAAAGATGAATTGGGAGCTGCTGCCCCTCCTGAGTTGCCCTGGATTTTGTTCACCAGTCTTGTGCTCTGCTTGTCCAAATGTGTCTGTGCTGCCTTTGGCACATGTGCTGCAGTGGGCTGACTCCAACCGACTAACTTCTTCCCAAAGTAGTGTCTGTTTAAGGCTTTGTCTGATATGACTGTTCTGAGTCTGGTCAGCAAGTTGCAGCTAACTTATTTGTAACTTGCTCTGTTGGGTCTACCAGGCCACCTAGTAATATTTATTTGGGTGGGGGAAGCAACCCCCACCCACAATTTATCTACTCAGCTCTGAAAGAGGAAGGCTGCTCTGGTATTATGTGTACCTCATAATACCTATCAATAATAATGATAAGCTAATAAGCATGGTATCTCATAATACCTATCAATGTCTCTTACTAGGTGGATTATAGCTGCACCTGGAGGCTCTGATAACATCCACCTTGGGTGCTGTAGAAATATTTTAAATGTCTGTCCCAACTCAAGTTACAACTAGTGGCGATCGGTCAGTACTGGGAAAAGACTGTTCTCAATTTGAGCTGCTAAAGAAAAACTTCAATGCTTAAT